CTTCTGGTCTTCGCGTTTGAACCGGTCGGTCTGTCTAGCCTAACCTTGAAAACACCTCGGAGGACCGTAATGCATCGAGGGGGTGTTGATTATTTTTAATTACTCGGCCTTTTAATTTCACGCGATCGCGGTCCAGTTCGATTCGCCGATTAAAATTGTTTCGGTCGAGATAGCAGACCTAGGCAGATTTGAAGTTACGTTATTTGGAATATTATTCGAGGTGATATTGTTATTATGGAATAATATTTCAAATTATATTTAACGTGTTATCTTATTTTGTGTTTATTTCCACGCGCGCGCGCGCGTTCGCGAGTGTTTTTTAAAAATAATATTATTTGAGATACTATTTTAGATAACATGCTCTTTTATTTTATAATCGTTTGGACAATCATAGAATTACGTTATGTTTTTTTGCCATATTTGATATGCAGGAATGACAGAAGAATGTATTATTTGAAAATAATTTCGAGGTTATGTCAATTATTTCGAGGATCATCAAATAATTCATTATTTTGAGATCAATTTCGAGGAATATTTTCTCCTTGTCACGTTTGAAATAAAGTACTAACAAAATAATTCATTATTCGAAATAATTGCTATTGTTTCAAATGGGTCGATATCATTATTTTCGAAACAAAGGGTTGTGAACACAATGGTTTGAAACGAACGATTCCAAATGGTTCATTTTCATTTGAAATAAAATATGGCCGCGTCTATCTAATGGCAGCACGATATCGAAATTTCGTAGTTTTTCCAACAACAACCACAAAAAGAAGCACGAGAATCGAAAATCACGGCCGTCATCGGCTACGCGGTTATTTAAATTTCAAAATTTCACGGAGCGATGCGAAGGTTGGTATTTCCATCAACCGGGATAAGCGAAGAGAGAAATTGGTTTCATATCCGCTGAGAGATTTAACTTCGTAGTTCAAACTACAATAAACATGTTAATCTTCTTTATTAATGTTCCCGGTTTCCTCTGCTGGAAGCACTCTTTGCTATTCGTGCCCTGCATTAATGAGCAGCAGATTTTGAATTTCAAATTACACGCCGCCGGTCATAGATAGAATTCCCACGTTTTCTCGTCAACTGAAAAAAAAACAGCCCGAGCGAAACGAATCGTTCACCTTCCTCCATTATTTGCCGCGTTAGCAACATTGAAACTGCATGTCCGCTTCTATTCATAGTTACAGCAATGTCTCCCTTACTGACGCTCAGATTGACCACTAAAATGGACAATTTGCAGCTCGTTTTTATAGTTGTTGACGATTGGTGACTGTAAAAATGAACTGCGAGGATCGAATAATCGTCTCTCTTCTCCCTAAATTGTCCAGTTTTGTGGTCAATCTGGGCGTCAATTAGAGAGACATTACGTACTTCGAACGAGCTCGAGAACTCGTTTCGCGGAAGTACCATAATTTCGGGGTACCCTGCATACCGATTACATTACGAATCTGTCGTCTACTTCGTCCGGTCGTGCAACGCGCTAGAAACAACGCAATTATTAATCAATCGGATGGAATTAACCGCGAAACGAATATCGGTTGAAATTCGCGAAACCAGCGGGTCCGCCCCCGGTTTTCCGAAGTTCACGCACGGAATCGTCTCTGGTGAATACCGAAGGACGATCCCGGAACCTTGTACAAGTTCTCCTTTCTAATCTCGGCGGTTCCCGGCGCTCGAAGAGGATCGCAATTTCGCCGGGTCCTTCGTCTCCGGGCCGACGGAAATCACGCTGCCAGGGAAGAAACTAGCCCCGACTGACATTTGCAAATGACATTAGCCCGTATTAACGTAGCGGGTCTATCTGCGCCGAGACAAAACGTCTTCCTCTGACTTGGGCGTCGGAGTCGTCCCCGTAAATTAGTTCCAAGTTAATCGGTGACGGCGGCGGCAGCGGCGGCGTAGGGTAGTAGCGCGAGCTCGCGCGAGCGCGCCCGGCTCTTCTGGAAATATGGCCTCGCGAAAAGAGATAATTTGCATTTTAATTGCGCCAGTCTGCGCCACACCACCGCCTCGCTCCTTCACCGCCCCCTTTCGCCACCCTCCGGCACCCGTCGTCCCGCTCTCACCCTCTCGTCTTCGCAGGCGTTGACACCCTTGCAACCTGCCCGCGCCTTTTCCCGCGAGCGCACCGCCCCTCTGAAAAGCTTTACACCCGACAAGCATTGTGCGACGATCCGGCCTC